GAGGGAGGGGATTGAATTTTCAGCCCAAAAAGAATTCCACTAAACATGTTCTTCAGTTTCCCATATCTGAAATTCTATTAGCAGAATTACAACACTTTTCATGATTTAATTTCGAGTGGTTTTGAAAATCAAACAAGTCAAATTGGGAATCATTTATCTAGGATTTTAAATGGTTGGTATGTCTGAATGTGTTTTGGGTTGATTCATTGAGTTTGCCCTGCATTTCAACTCATTTCTGCTGAATTGTTGAATCTGGGTGGGCTGAAATGCTCTTTCACTGACTGTGACTGGGTTATTACCTTAGTTTCTGAGCTGCTGAACTGTTACTGCTGCTAATCTCCTCTTCTCTATTTACATTCCAATTTCCAGGTACATTTTCAAAATTCCCTTGATGTAATCACAATTTGGGATGAAATGCAATCACCTTGGTCAATCTGTGTTCGTTGGATGTATATAGCTGTAATCAGTTGATTGATAAATGACTATATGTATTTGATTCGTTTGGATTGAGTTGTATTAAGGTTTATTAATTTAGACCATGTCTAGACTGTTCAGACTGTGCATTCCATGTTTATGTAATTGTAGCTTTCAGTTTTGCTTAAGCTCCACAGTCTGCTGAAGTTAAATTTGTAACGTTACAATTGATCTTGAGTTCAATACACGTGATTAGTTTCAATTTTGGTTTTAATCTGAATTGTATATTCAATAGCTTCGTACTGGGCCAGGTTTTTCATTTGGGCCTGGGCGTATTAATAGGCAGCCCAGATCTATTTTGGTTAGGTGATAATTTGAATTAGGGCCTAGGTGCATTAAAAACTTAGGCAATTAGTTAAACCAAAAGGTGCCCCCCAAGGGCTCGATCCCCGGGCTTTACAAATGCCTATCTTTGGTTTAAAACTTTGACCCGCATTAGGCCTAATGCCTGGAGCTGTAAGATTTTTGAGCTCGCATCATATGAGATTACATGATTTGGGCCTTATGGGCTCAAGACCCATTTCTCTGCATTCTCCCTGGATATTTGAACTTGGATTCGAAAAGTTTGACCTTAACCCATCAGGATTTTTAGGGACAAATTAAGTAGATAACAATATAATTATTTAAATGACTAAGTTTGGAAAGGTTGTTTAGCACATTCCGCCGCCTTTACCCAGAATAATATTACGTTAGAACCTTTAAGCGCGATTTAATTAAATTACTTCTTTAAACTCGGGTGCACATTGATGCGACCCAAATCCAAATCTCGACGAAGTCGAAATGTGTTTACGACTATGGGTGCATTGATTGTGACGTGGTTTGAAACGTGTTTTCACGACGTCGCAATTCTTTTAAAAAATAATTATAATAAAAGCGGTTCGAAATTAAATAAAAGGCACATAAACTAGCATGTATTAAAATTAGATAAAATCAAATACAACAGTTAAGGGACCGTGCTAGAACCACGGAACCCGGGAATGCCTAACACCTTCTCCCGGGTTAGCAGAATTCCTTACCCGGATTTCTAGCTCGCGGACTGTTAACAGAGTCATATTTTTCCTCGGTTCGGGATTCAACCGGTGACTTGGGACGCCATTAGTATCCCAAGTGGAGACTCTGAATCATTAATCATTAAATTCCGTTCTGATTGTCCTTTAATTGGAAAAACTCCTTTACGCCCTTACCGGTGTAGGTAAAAAGGAGGTGTGACAAATTTTAGTTGTCATCATTGTGGAAAGAAAGGCCATATGATTCGGGACTGCAGATATAGAAAGGCAGGAATAAATTTCAATGCAGACAAGTGCATTTACTCTAAATTTACAAAAGAATATGGAGTAATAATTTGTTTATATGTCGATGACATGCTGATTTTTGGTATGAATCTACAAGGAATTACCGAGACCAAGAAGTATCTAACCTCAGTTTTTAAAATGAAGGATTTAAATGAAGTTGATACTATTTTGGGAATCAAGGTCAAAAGAGATAACAAGCAAGTGACTTTGTCACAAGCACATTATATAGATAAAATCCTTACTAAATTCAGTCATTTAGGAATAAAGGGGTATAATACTCCTTATGATTCTAGTGTTAAGCTAACTGCAAATACTGGAAGAGCAGTAGCACAGTTGGAGTATGCAAGTGCGATAGGTAGTATGATGTATGCAATGCATTGCACTAGACCCGACATTGCATTTGCTGTTTGTAAACTTTCAAGGTTTTAGAGTAATCCAGGTAATGATCATTGGAAA